CTGCTTCTCCCTCTCCCACTCCCCCTGCTTCTGTTCCCTCTCTCGCTGTGTCTTTCTCTGTCAAATAAATAAATAAAATCTTTAAAAAAAAAAATCTAGCTGAAAAACCCTATGTCAGGGGCGCCTGGGTGGCTCAGTTGGTTAAGCACTGGACTCTTGATTTTGGCTCAGATCATGATCTCAAGGTCATGGGATCAAGCCCCGCGTTGGGCTCCACCCTCAGCGCGGAGTTCACTTGAGAATCTCTCTCTCTCTCTCTGCCCCTCCCTGCCCCCCGCTTGCATGCACACGTGCTCTCTCTCTCCAATAAATAAATAAATAAACTCTTAAAAAAAAAAAAAACCCAACTCTATGTCAAATTACACCACCGCCCCTCAGCTTAAAATCCATCTGTGACACTGGGCAGGTCCTAAAACATAAGAACGGATACATGAATTCTGTATTTTATATTCAAGGTTTGTTTTAGCACCATTTGGTGTCTGCTTATGTCCGTTTTATAAAGCAATGCATGTAAGATTTAAAAGGACACATGGGAATGAACGAAGAAAGTCTTAGGCAATGTGAAAAGATTTCCTTTTTTAAGATTCTATTTTTAAGTAATCTCTACACCCAACGTGGGGCTCAAACTTATAGCCCCAAGAAAAGAGTTGCACGCTCTACAGACTGAGCCAGCCAGGTGCCCTAAATATGAAAAGATTTCTAAACTATCAAGTGAAAAATGCGAGGTGCAGAGTGCAGGATACCACTGTCCACATTTTAAAAAGGCAAAAAATATACAGTCGATTCTCCTTATTGCCAAGTTATGTTCTTTGTAGTCACCGTGAACACAAATTAGCAAATGCAATCGAATGCACTTATGGGAAATACACGGTTTTGTTCCTGTGAGCCTCTGGTCATATTTTCATCAACTGATCAACAACATCACCTTGTTTTATATGTGTTTCAGTTCAAAGACACCTTATCTAATATATAATGTTGCTTCATTAACGTTGAGCTCACGGCCAACAGCTAACTCGAGCCTGAAGGACGCTCATCGGATTTCTGTGTTTTCTCCGTGAGACACACTACAGCCTTCTTGCATTTGGGGATACTAGCCAGCATTAAGCACTTTGCTTGGGGGACATTTCAGACAGTGAAGCCGTCAACAAGAAAAGCACAAGAAACGTGAAGAACGTGGCACTCAGTAGCAGGCGAAAAGGGGAAAAGGACTCTGGGTTATGGTATGAGCTGAGACAGGAAGGCAGAGTACCGCTTTGCTGAACTTCAGCAGAATGTGTGCTGGACAACTCAAGCTTTCCACCCCTGTGTGAATGACACGATGATCTTTACAAAAGCACCAGGAGGGGCGCCTGGGTGGCTCAGTCGGTCGAGC